CACCCCAGCCCCTCAACTCAGACTCCCTGGGGTGTCTGTCCCCAGCCCCAGGCTCCATCATGGGCCACTCGGACGCTGGGGCTCCAGGATGCCTCCCCTTCCCCTCCTCTCCTCACCCTGCCCACCTGCCCTGGCTTTTCTGCAGGTTCCAGGCCAGGCTCTGGCCAGCTGGCTCCCATCTCTATCCCTCCCCTGGCCTTGTCCTGACTTTACACGGATGTCCAAGCTCCTCGGGGACACCTCTCTCCACAGTCCAGCCCACCGGCACCACACTCCCTCTAGGCCCTCAAAAGAAGTCCTGTCTTCACCCTAACATTCTCTGTGTCAACAAAGGACAGTGTGGGGGTAGCACAGTGCCCCCCAAAAACATTCACGTTCTGATCCCCAAGCCTGTGACCATGTCACCTCATAGGGCAAAGGGGGCTTGGCAGGTTCAGCTGAGGACCTTGGGATACAGGACGACCCTGGATGACCAGGTGGGTCCCATGAAATCACAGGGGTCCCTGCGAGACGGAGGCAGGTGGGTGAGAGTCAGAGATGGGAGGCTGCTCTGCTGGCCCTGCGGATGGAGGAGGCGCCACGTGCCCAGGACATAGTTTCTCTAGGAGCTGGGAAGGCAGGGAGATGGACTCTGCTCTGGAGCCTCCGGAAGGACCAGCAGGCAACACCTTGGTTTAGCCTGTGAGGCGGGTTTCGGAGTTCTGGCCTCCAGGCCACAAGAGAACGACTTTGCCTTGTTTTCAGCCACCCTGTCTGTGGTCCTGGTCACGGTGGCCACAGGCCACTGCCAGGCAGCTCCTCTTTCCCAGTGACTCACTCCCGAGCCAGGAGGAGCAGACGGGGACCAGAGACGCCGCCCCTCCTCTTCCTCACCCCCCTGCGCCCTCCCTTCCTATCTGCTGTGGCTCCCTTTGTCCCAGCTGAAGGTCGTGACCCAAGTTCAGGTGCATCCCCTTCCCCCTGGAGGAACTGCTCCGGGCTACTGGTCACTCACAGGAGAGTGAGGCTCTGAGTTTGGGCCCCTGTCCTCTCCTTTCCACGTCTCTGCTGTAATTAAGGCCTCGCCCAGGGCCTGCACACCGGCCTCTCAGCCACCTGCACCCCCACAGGCCTTCACCTGGCCTCCTCCCTGCACACCCTGACTGGTCACCACCACCCCACCCCACCCCCGCCTGGTGACCACCGATGCCTGGCTCACACCCCTCGGGGCACCTCTCCACGAAGCTCTTCCTGAACCTGCCTGTGTTAGTCAGGGTTCTCCAGAGAAACATCCATCCATTCATCCATCGANATCTATCTATCTATCTATCATCTATCTATCTATCTATCTATCTATCTATCTATCTATCTATCTATCTACCTATCTACCTATCCATCTATCCATCCATCCACCCCATCCACCTGCCCATCCATCCATCCATCCATCCATCCACCTATCCATCTATCTATCTATCTACCTATCTATCTATCTATCTATCTATCTACCTACCTACCTACCTACCTACCTATCCATCCACCTATCCATTTACCTATCATCTATCTATCTATCTATCTATCTATCTATCTATCTATCATCTATCTATCTATCTATCATCTATCTTACCTACCTACCTATCTATCCATCCACCTATCCATTTACCTATCCATCCATCCATCTATCCATCCATCCATCCATCCATCCATCCATCCATCCATCCATCCATCCATCTAACCATCTATCTACCCATCCACCCATCTGCAGGGGTGGGGACCTTCTGGCCCACAAAATCATTTGGTCTGGCCCTGCCAAGACCTCACCGAAGAGAAGCAGTTCCAGCCATCACATTAGGGTGAGTTAATTAAATGTCTGACCAAATAGAGCAGGCTAATTTTTAAGTTGATAATTTTGTACAGCCCACAGATGATGTCATAAACATCCAAATGGCCCTTGGCAGAAGAAAGGTTCCCCGCCTCTGATCTAGAGAGAGATTTATTTGAAGGGATTGGCTCACGTGACTGGGTCCTGCAGGCTGCAGCCCCCGGGATGCTGATGTTGCAGCTCAGTCAGAAGCCTCTGGCGGCTGAATTGCTGAATCCCTTCCTCCTCAGGGACTCGGTCTTTCCTCAAGGCTTCAGCTTAGTGGACGATGCCACCGCGGTCTGGAGGGAGGTCTGCTCCAGTCCAAGTCTGCTGATTGTAAATGTCAATCACATCTAACACAGAAACACACAGACAACGTCTGACCTAATAGCCAGGCACCAGGGCCTGGACAAGTTGACACCCAAGTGACCCCCACCAGCCTCCCCTTGTCTGCACTTGGCCCTGGGGCACCTCTGTCCCCCACCTGCAGAGCAGGGCGGCCTCGACCTCCCATCTCGGAGCCTGTCGCCGAGCAGCAGAGAACGCAGGCCACAGACGTCCATGCGCCCCCCGGAGCCCCAGCACACCCCGCACCCCAGGCTTCAGGCCTGTCCCAAGAACTGCCCTTTTGGGGCCCATAGGAGGGGTTCTCTGGGTGCCTGGTTTGTCTCCCCAGTGAACTGGGGTGGGGGCAGCTATGCCCTCCTGAGCCCCCCACAGCCTGGCCAAGCGCACGTCTGCTCTAGGCAGACTGAAGGAAGCAATTGTCCCCTGTAGCACCTGGGCTCCTCCAGACACCCCAAAAGCACCAGGCCTGCCCACAGCTCCCTGCTGGTCTGCAATGGGCCCCTCATGAGGCACAGAACTGGGGGGTCGCTTATGGTTGGGGTGCAGGGAAGAAGCAAAGGTCCCCGCAGGAGGGCACACGGGCCGGGCTCCAGCCGCTATGGGCCCTGGAAACTGTTTCTCCCTGCTGGGCATAGAGCTGGACTCAGTTGCAGGGGGCAATGGTGAGGGTGGGAAGCCCTGAATGACCCTGCCCCGAGTGGGGGTCGGGGAGCAGAGGGGGTGCCTGACTCTGGTGGGGAGAACCAAAGGGCATGAGGCACCTTAGCCAAGCCAGGTCCCTGTCTTGCAGGACTCCCAGGATCCTGGACCAGCTGAGCCTGGCATCGCGCCTCCCTGCTCCTTCCACCTGTGCCTGGCACCCCTCCCCCTGCTCTCACTGTGCCAGCCACTCACAGCCACACCCTCCCCCACCAGCTCAGGCCCCGTCCAAGGCAGCTGACCCAAAGCTAATTCCCTCAACGGCCTTCCTCACAGCAGAACTATTAGCCTGGGCCTGTGGCTGGGGCCCCAGGGATCTACACCCCCACTTCCTCCTGAGCGGCAGGGGGGCCTGGCTCCAAGGACCTGCAAGTGGGGTGACTCAGGCCCAATTGGAGGGCAGGGCAGGGAAAGCAGCCCAGCAGGCGTGACTCAGCACCTCTGCTGTTCCCCCACCCACCTCCTGGGAGGAAACCACTTCCCGCCCAACCCCAGAGCAGCACCCAGAGCAGCCCCGACCCCAGGCCTCCCTGCAGCCAGGCCCCCTGGGCACCCACAGACCTTTTCTTTCCTTGGGTCACTGGGAAACCACCTGCTCAGAGCTTGAGTAGATGGGCGTGGCTGTGCCCTGGGGGCTGCTGGGGGGTCTCAGGGCCTCCAGGTGAGACCCAGGCCCAGAGCAGCGGGACCGGGGCAGAGAAGAGACTACCTGCCAGTTAGGACCCATCCCTCCTCCCTCTGCACCTGAAGGGGTGGAGGCGACAGGAAAGAAGGCCCAGCCTGGCTGCAGCCCCAGCTCCAAGTCCCCAGGGTCCCCATGTCCTGTGCGCTGGCGGTTTGTCCACGCTCAAGGCCTCCGTTGCGTGAATCTGCACCAACGATTTGCTCTCTCTACAGTCGGGGGGCGGGGGCCTCTACAGGCTCCGGGGCCTTCTGTCCGGGGCTATTGTCAAGGTTGCTGCCAAATCTGTACCTGGCCCGGTGGCCGGGACACTTCTGTTGTGTGAGTCCCTCCAAGAGGTGCCGCTGGCCTGGGACGGCTCAGGATCCGCTTTCGTGGACAGGGCCACACGGTGTCCCAAAGTGCTTGTGCCCACTGGCCGGCCAGCCAGCCCTGTTCCAGTCGCTCCGCGTCCGCGTTTCCAGCGTTTGCACTGCAGCCGCTCGGGCGGGTGTGTCGGCTGGGACGGCTGCCACCTGCTCCTTCCCAAGGACGCAGATAAACACCTTTCCACACCTCGATCTGCACCTGGGCTTCCCTTTCCCTTGCCCGTTTTTTGTTTTTCTTTCCATTTTCTTTTTCTATTGGGTTGTCCATCTTTTTATGGGTTTGTGGTTCTTTTTAAATTTCAGATACTAGTTGCTTGTCACATATATAGGGTGCGCCCCAAAAACGTACACGTACTTTAACAGCCGGTGACTCAGTCAATTTTCACTGCTTTTCAGGTTTAACTGATTTGAACTAATGGGTGAAGCCAGACGAAGCTCAAAGAAAATGTATCCTAAAGGGCCACTGGACTTTTTTTATGGGGACACATAAAACACAAAGTTTACGGTACAAAACCGGCAACGGTCGACGCACTGAGGGCGACAAATACCGTGCGAAACGGTTCCTGACGTCGGCGACTCCGCTGCTTCGCTTTAGCGGCAGGGCCCGGGCCGGACGGTCGTCAGTGTGAAACAGGCCTTGACAAAAATATATCATCCGTTTCTGTAGATGCTTTTAAACTCTGAAAATGAACTGCGGGTTCATAACACTGACTTTATAAGCACACAGAGTGCGCACACAGCCCGCGTGAGGAATGGTTCCCGATCACGCCGGCTGAGGCACGGGAGTCGGTAACATCTACGGGCTTTGAGAAACCTATAGTGTCCTGTGTCCATCCTTCCAGCCTCATACAGAGCAGTTTCATTGCCCTAAAAATCCTCTGTGCTCCACCCGTCCACCCCTCCTGCCACCACAGCCACTGATCTCTCACTGTCCCCATCGTTTGTCCTTCTAGTGTCCCAGGGTTGGAACCACAGCACGTGGCCTTTCCAGCAGCTTCTTCACCCAGGAATATGTAGCTAAGCTTCCTCCCCGACAGCTCGCTCCTCTTTACCGCTGAGTAATATTCCACTGTCCGGATGGGCCACAGTTTATTTATTCACCCCCTGAAGGGCATCCAGGTTGCTGCTGAGTCTTAGCGATTATGAATAAAATTGCTGTAAACATGCACATGCAGCTTTTCGTGAGGACGGACGTTTCAGCTCCTTTGGGTAAACACCAAGGAGCACAAGCGCTGGATCCCACGGTGAGATATGTTTGCTTTTCTGGGAAACCACCAAACTGCCTTGCAAGGCGACCGCACCCCCCGCGCCCCCACCAGCGGTGAGAGAGGTTCCTGCGGCTCGCGTCCCCCGGGCACTGGGTGTCGTCACTATTTTGGATCTTGGCCATTCTGGTGGGTGTGCGGTGATGTCTCACTGTTGTCTTAATGCGCACTTCCCACAGGACACAGGTGGCTGTTCACGGCCTTATTTCCCTCTGCGCTTCCTTGTCTCTGACGTGTCTATTTAGGTCTTCGCCCATTTCTTAATTGGGTTTTTCACTTTCTTACGGTTGAGTTTTAAGATTTCTTTGCACATTTTGGAGACAAGTCCTTGTCAGGTGTGTGTCTCCCAGCCTGCGGCTTGTCTTTTCAACCTTTCTGTCATTGTCACAGGCACCTGGGTGTCTTTTGTGTGCTTCCCGTTTAAACAACAAATCTCTGTCAGTTCCATGATCCCGAAGACGGTCTCCTTTGTCTTTCCTCCCCTCGAGGACGCCCCATCTGCATTTCTCTCTCTAACCCCCCGGGACTGGGGGGGGGGTNCTTACCTCCAGCAAACTGAGCTTGCTGCCTGCGGTGGGGGCGTCACCTCAGCCCCTGTCTCTTATACACATCTAGATGTGTATAAGAGACAGCACACACTACACGTCAGCGAGACTCCTGCTCTGCTCAGCTGCCTTCCTGCCTATCCCTGCACCACCACCCCACCGTCCGCACCACTGGCTCTTTATAGGAGCCATGCTTACACTACACCCCCCACGTCACTGGGCTGCTCTCCTCAAGGTCAGATGACCAAATCCAATGGCTAGTGGGGAGCCCCACCTTCAGGGGACTGCTCCCCGGCGTCCTGTGTCACAGCGGCCAACCCACGAGCTGCCTTTGCTCGGCCTGCAGGGCTCCTCCCCTGGTCTCTGGTCCCCTGGCCCCCGGCCACTCTCTAACCTTCTAAAGCTGGGAGGCCCCAGGCCTCTTCTAGTCTGCTCCAGCCCTTGGTTGCATCCAATCTCATCATTTAAATACCATTGACCACTGAGGACTCTCAAGCCTCTACCTGAGCTTGGATCTGTCCCCTCAACTCCCAACTCCAACAGCTGCTGCCCCTCAACAGCCACTGTACGTCCCCTGGGCCCCCCTGGGCATCATCTCAACAGGTCAACCCAGAACTGAGCTCCCGGCCTTCCTCCCGGGCCCTTCCTCCTGCATGCATCCATCTCAGCCAATGACAGGCCATTACTCCGGCTATTTTGGACAGACCCCTAGTGAGTACGGACCCCTCCATCACCCACCCTTTGTCCCATCCATCAGAAATCCTACTGGCCCTGCCTCAAAAGTGTGCCCCTAAACTGACTGCTCCTTGCCCCAGCCTGGTCCCAGCCTGGTCCAGGCGACAACGGCCTCCCAGGCCGATCCCGCTCTCTCCCTGTATCCAGCACAGTAGCTAGAGTGATGCTTCCCAGGCTCCTCCAGCTCATGCCTCTCAAGAGACAAATTGGGGTCCTTCGGGGCTCCTCTCTGACCTATGTCTGACCCCTTCTCTTCCCCCCTCTGCCCACGCTCTGCTCAGCTGACTACCCCCCTCCAGGAGGCCCCCATCTCCAGCCTCAAACATTGATCCATCACCTCCCCAGTCTGCTCACATGAGGCCTCTCCCATTGCAACACCCGCCCTCCTTCCTGTCACCCTGTGTCCCTCCCCTGCCCCGGTTCCCCGAGCACTTGTGTTCCTCCAGAAGCCTGTGTGGCATCTATTTCCCGGTCTGGGTATGAACGCCACAAGGGAGGGAGTCCTGTGTGGGTCCCGTGATTTCCCAGCACCCAGGGCACGTGTTGGGTGTTGGACTATTAAGTGTGGGAGGGATGGGCCACCAGGCATCCGAGGGGAGGTCGAGAGGAGTGGCAATTAACCCCTGACTCACCAGGCAGGCAGTCCTCCCCACCTGGGCCTTGGCTGCCCCATCCCCCTGGAGTCCCTAGGCCCTGGTCCGCACCCATGAGGAGCCAGAGACCAGGAGTTGTGCCCTGGGTACCCCACCAGCTCAGACCTCTGGGCTGGCACCTGCCCAGCTGACTTGGGAGCCCTGTTCCCACCAGGCCTCCTTTGGGGCCCCTTGGCCAGTAGACAGCTGAGCGGANCAGCTCAGACCTCTGGGCTGGCACCTGCCCAGCTGACTTGGGAGCCCTGTTCCCACCAGGCCTTTGGGGCCCCTTGGCCAGTAGACAGCTGAGCGGATCAGAGAGGCCCTGCAGTTCCATGCTGGGCCCACTGCCTTTGGCCCGAGGGGCACCTCTTTCTGGCCCTGTCCCACCTTTGGGAGGGCTGCCGGTACAGGGCCCTCTGGGACCCTCTGGCCAATCACACCATGAATGGCTCTGCTGGGGTTACTGACTTGGAGGGGCCTTTGGCCTGGGAAAGAGCAGAGACTCCCTAGGTGCCTGACCAAAGCCACGGGGTGTCTTGGGGAGCACAGGGCCCAGGCCAGAGCAGCTGCCCACGAAGGGGACGTGGGCTCTTTCTGGTGCTCAGCGGCAGAGGCCGGGCCCAGCCCCTACAGGCAGGTGCCATGGTGCGGCCCATCAGGGAGGGACCCTTGAGCCTGTGGGTCAGTACCTCTGGGATCTTGAGCACCCCGCTGTCCCACCCACATGTAACTGTTGAGCACCCACCACATGCAAGGCACTGCTCTGGGTGCTGAGGAATCCTGGGAACAACATGGAGAGAAGGTCCCACTCTGTGCTGAAAGGACTGACAGGTGGTTTCTGGGGGAAGGGGGCCTCTCCACCCTTTGGGACAGAGAGGTCCCTTGTCCCTATTCAGCTGCTATTTTAGGGGAAAGCCCAAGAACCTCGGCCTGGCTCACAGCAGCCCCGGCCAGATACAACTGGCCACCTCTGCCCTCCCACCCCAGCTGTCCACATGGCCTCTCCTGCCCACACCCTCCGGTGACCTTGCTGCCATCACAAGCGGTCACTTTCCAGCACATTTCTCCACTTAATTCCCTTTTTTTTTTTTTTAAAATCCTCACTGGAGTTTCCACTGCTTTTTAGATGGAGTGGAACGGGGTGGGGGGGGAGAGAGGGCGAGAGGGAAGCATCGGTGTGAGAAACACATGGACTGGTTGCCTCCTGCACATGCCCCAGGTGCCCCGACCTGGGCCGGGGGGGAGGGGGAATGAGCATGCAACCCAGGTAGGTGCCCTTCCTGGAATCGCTCTCACCACTGAGCCAAACCAGCCAGGCTGATTCCCTTCCTCACACGACCTTTTAAAAGAACCTGTTGGCACTCCTTACCTCCTGAAGGTTAAGGCCAGTCCCTCCTCTGGCCGGGAATAGGAACTGAGGATGGAGGTGGCCCCTCCTCAGCCCCCGAACTCTGTTCCACACACCACACGTGGCAGGAAGGGGTGATGGGTGAGGTCCTGAAGGGCAGCGGTCACCGTGGCCTCAGCAGAGCTGAGCACTGGCCAGAGGGGATGGGGGGGGGCTCACTCCCCCAGCAAGTGGCTGGAGCTGGGAGACCTGATTCTTCATTTGAGTGGAGGCCTGGGGAGGACCCTGCGAGGGTGGGCTGGGGGTCCCAGAGGAAGGGGGGCCCAGGTGGGAGGGCCAGGCCATGCTAGCTCTGGACAGTGAGATGGACAGTGAGGAGCGGGACGCCTGGTGGGTTGGAGAGGGCGGCTGAGGGGGGCTGGAGATGCCCAGGGCAAAAGAGGAGCGGGAGGGGCAGGGTGCTCCGTGCAGGGCGCGGGTGGAGGTGCTGCAAGCACCCTGGAGACAGGAGAGCGCGGGGCCTCCTGGATGCACGGCCCGCGGGCCTGGGGAAGGAGCCTGGGCTGGGGGCGG